AGTTAACGTGCAGTTAATGTACTAATATATTAGCATAAATACTTTCTGAATTTAGTTGCTTCTTTCCTTCTGCTCAGCGGACGAGAACTATTAACAACATTGATATTTGAACTTGAAAAACGTCCCTTTAAGGTGTAAAATATTATTCTGAGCATTTAGAACGATATCAATAAAATGTTGTGTAAAGGACCACAGATGAAAGATTATTATTAAAGTCGGATTAATCCCGGTAATAAACCTACAACACATGAAGATTCCAAATTTCTGTAACGGATTTAGAACGGAAAGTCTTTTCGAACGGTATTTTGGTACTGTCCACGGTTGTTTAAATGTAATTTGATAGTAAATTTAATTAATAATACAATATGTTAAAGAGTTGTCTATTGTGCGTTATTACCATGTTTTTCAAAAATATTTTTCAAAGTAAACACTTTATCATTTAGTCGGGTAGATCGCTCAAGACAAAAAATGTTCATCTATTAAGACATAAGACTATGTTTTAGATCCTCGTTCAAAATTATCCAAGATATTTCCAACATCCAACATTTCTCATGGTCAACAGAATATGCTTAAGACTTTATTTGGTTATAATGAAGCCGGGTCCTTAAATGAAGCTTAATTTATTGCAAATTATTATTGAGATGATCCGTTCTTCAATTTATTATTGATGTCCTTCAGGAGATATTTCCTCAGTAATTTATATTGACCAATTTTGTTATATATTTGATTTTCAGCGCAATCACAGAAATTTTTATCTAACTGTAAGAAGTAGTCCGGAAGAACACACAGTAAGTTTATATTTTTTTCTTGCATGGGCTAAGCATGTTAATATAATGGATGCAATGAATAAGAATAGTGATGGTGGAATAAAGATCAAAATACAGCATGATAGAATGATAGTGAATGAATACATGAAAAAATCACAATTTGAAATTCGGAAGATTCGAAGACTTTGGGTATCATCCGCATTAAACCGACACTTTAAACATTTTTTGGACCTTCCTTGTTTTATGTAATTCTTGTAACCTGTTTTCTTGTTTGCAAATAAATCGCATTTTTGTCCTTATACGGTCCTTATAAAGAGGGCAGCAATATTCGCGGTTCAGAAACCATCTGTATTCGAATTTATTAAAGCAATGCTTCATGGTTTTTTTGTAAAACAAATTACCCGAAACTGAAAGTACATTTTCAAAAATTATTGAGTCCCGCCTTTACCTACAGTCTAATAGCTATTTTATTTCCGGCCAACTCTGCTCAACTCCAAAGCACACACTCTAAAAGAGAACTTACTTGGTAGTTTCTAAGCGAAAGAAAATTGATGGGTTGCAAATCCAAAGATAAATCTATCAGGGCTTTAGAACACTTTGGAGACAGAATGCGTATAATATATTTGTGGGCTAAACCCTCGCTTTGTTACCTATGGCATTTCCTTTGGACAATTAATCCTCAGGAAACTGAGAATCGCATCTTGGTTGACAACAGCCATGTTTGAAACCCCGAGAAAGAAAACTGTTGGGGGTGCAATATTTTAAGTTAATTTTTAAAATACAACAAATATTACAAGTCTGTATATCTATTTCTAATGTTGTGTTAATGTGACATATTTCACATATTTATTATTTATGCAGAAAATCACGATTTATTTAAATTGTCTAAGTTATCAGTTGATGATATATCGGGTGTTACAATGAATAGTAAAGTTACATTTTCTATAATAATTGTAATAATAATAATCGTAATTAAACTGGAATACATCCACTAATATTTATTTTTCTATAAATTTTAAATTTGCTATTAATTCAAATATTCTCTTAGTTTTGTTGGAACTAATCAGAATTATTTTCTATAATAAATTTGCCAGATTAATCTCACGCTTTATAATACCTTATTTTCTCCTGCATTTGTTGTTGTCTACTCCATTGAAAGTACATAAAGAATTGTATTAAAACAAATAACAAAAATAAACGTTAACATTTAAAAAATTGATAATTACTATGATTTTGTTTTAAAATGCTTGAATTCAGTTATAATTTTTTTCCTAAAATTGAAAGGAAACACAGCTGCTTATGTGCTTGTTTGTAAACCACCGTTTTCAGACAGGGTGTTCTGTAATTATGTGCATAATATATAAAATAGTTATGTGCATTTTACGGTGGTGGTTAGAAGCTAATTTGAAACGGAGTTATAAGAATATACCTACTTTCTGATTTAAGACTTGCCTGAGGAAATGATTGAAAAGCATTCCTTATCTTATTTTTTCGAAAACGCTTTAAGTAAGCAACTTGAAATTAAGTATGCCTTAAGAACTATTGTAGTGATGTTTTATGATGATCTTCGCTCGCTCAACACATGTGTTAAAATAAAATAAATCAACTCCACTTGTTCTTAATGCTCACTAAGCCCTTTACCCTAATAGCAAATTCTCTCAAGAACAAATCCTCGTATAATACATTTTTTAACAACGTTTTTTACTACTGATGTTTTCGTATACTTGATGGTACATCAGTAAATAAAACAATTATCGTATACAAAACGTTACGGACAACACCTATTTATCACAAATGGTGTTCCTTAAATATTAATAATTTTGGATCTAATAATCACTTGTATTTTTGCCACTGGAGGTTTTACCAAGAAATTTGTTACATGTGACTTTGCGTAGTACTTTTAGAAACTTTTTTGGTGTTTCCGTTGAAATTTTGGAATACGAGTAAGAATAATTGCAACCGCTGGGAAGAATATACTCATAAGCATTTCCTTTATAGTGAATGTCATGGAACTGCGCTTCAAAATTGATTAGTACACGGGGACAGATTGTTGAATTCCTAAACCGTTGGCATCGTCGAATAGTCCAATTTCTAAAGCTCCAAACTTAATCAAAACTAACTAAAAATTAAGCCTAAGAGCGACAGCACTTTTCAACTACGCCCATAAAAATATAAAAAATTACGAAAAGCAGCTAGGAGTTTGAGTACCAACCATTGAATACTATGATGAAACGGGTTGTATCCCTAACATTTTAGAAGGCTCCAGGAACCGATGCCCGGCTTCTGCTCATTATGTTCGAGTTAAATGTGTAATATTATACTTCGACACCTTATTCACGATTTTCTTCCGCGAAATTTTAAAAAAGGATATTGATTTATTTCATCCACAGACATTAAGTTGACAAAACAAGACCAGCCAACATTATACGAATAGTTATTTACTTGTACGAAAACTCGGATTCCTAGCTTCAATCAATTTCGACAAATGATTGTCCTAAATAAAAAAAAGTTTATGAGAAAGATTGTGTCTTATTCACTATCGAAAGACGCCCTTAGAATATTTGCACACTATTACGGAACACTCTGCAGATGCGCAAATAGAATGAGGTAATTAATATCAGACTACTACTCGGATAATTTTAATTTGAACCTGATGGATTTCCGATTTGATTGTAATTCGGCGTTTTATCAAGGTTTCATATGGTAAATATGGAGAACATGTTACTCATTACATTTTGAGCTTCTGTTGCATATTGCAAAACAATATTTAATGAAAAATTATAATAATTATTCTTGATGTGTAGCAGCTTTTTCGTGCGCATTGCGAATTTTAGCTTGCTGCCAGTTTGTTTTCACTCTAGATTTAACGCAAATAAAGACCCAATAAAGATACCGAGTAATTTACATTACATATTCTTCATCTAGAAATTTTATTTCTCAAATTAGGACCGATTGTGTTTCACATCATAGCTACAATTTTTGATTTATTTGTTTTCTCTCTAATTTTATCTACCTACTTTTTAAAGCAATATGTCTCTCGCAATTTTTCGTCACGAAACGTGCGAGTTTTATCTACTTTATAGGTGCATCAACCCAAAGACATGAAACTGAAAAATTTCGTTGAAAGTTGACCAAAAAAACAGCTTTATATTCTCAATTACTGGTTAAAATGTTAGATATTATCTAATGTGATTTGCACGTTTTTACATCAGAATATTCTTAAGTGGGTTTTAAATGAGTTTTCGTTATTTTGATATGTTCTGGGAGCTAAAAGTTTCACATTTTTGCGCACTTTCTTGCATCGTTTTAGCATTTATTAGAGGGTTTCTTGTCTTTACGTCCTATATTCCAATCCCACCGCGAACATTTTACTAATGTTTAACTTTACTAGTTTAGTTAATCAAAGCAAAACGTAAATAAATCAGCAACAAATTATGTGTCCTGAACGACCGGCACCTAAAAATAGTTTTCAACACACCTGCAGACGTTTGTTATAAGCTGGCAGATTAAAATATTTGGATGGTAATTAAGGTCGACTGATTATTTCAAATTTTAGTAATGGAAGAAATTGATTCCAGTTCAGTCGAACGTAACGCTACGACAAGTAACAGAACGCGGAAATTATGAGTCGAGGCGAGAAACTTTAGGTAGTATTTTGCTTTCACAAAAATTGGAAGACGAGCATCCTGTCCTGCATAGCTTTATTTCTTCAGACCAACCATCATTCTCAATAATATTGGGCATTTTGTAACCCATATTGAAAATTTTGCCATTAAAATACACGCATGGAAAACATGTAGCAAAGTGGGAGCAATATCATGTAATCTTGTCTGAATCTGAATAGACCCTCAGTTTCAAGTAATCATTCGACTAACTATATTATTTCAAAACATAGTTATGAGAAAGCAACAATGGACTATTAACATCCTGTATGCGCAAACATACCAGATTTAGGATCTACACTGTTAAAAAGAAATCAGTTCCGCATGAGGAATTTCTACACGAACAAAGGCATGTGTTTGTGAAACAACCTGTATAACTTGACATAAAATAACAGTATCGTATAGCTGAAATTAATAAAATTACTAAACCTTTTTTAATATTGCATTGCACGAAGTTATACAGAGAAAAACTGACGCTAAGAAAACATAACAAATGCTCCTGAGAACATTACTCGGAAATCTGTTTGGATAGCAAACGCAATAAATCCTATACTTAGCTTAAGATACTTACTCCAACTGAGCTCTGTAGATCCCATTTGTAGCAAAAGACAGCAAGGAACATGAAAAGAAAGAAAATGTATCAGTTAGTGAAATAGTATGCAATAAAATATCAAAAAGTGTCTTCAGGTGTATAAGTGGTTCAAAAGTTATGTATTTATAGATTGTAACAACTATTTAGTAGCAAATATATGGACCATTTTCATGGTCATTGTTCATTTTATGAGTACCACAGGTCAACAACCTAGCGTTTATTATCACGATTTAGACGTTCGTTAATAATATGTAACATACACCTAATGGGAGCGGTTTGCACAGTCCAATTTATTAAATGTAGATAATTTACTTTAAATATAACATGCATGTCTATCTGCCTGCTAAATTCGCCGGCATAACATTTCCCAGGCTATTTTCTAGACACATACATTTAACATGTATGTATGCGATAGTAGCTAGTTATTTTGGTTAATTGCCTGCAACAGTAGCATCCCTATTTCAACGTAACAATAGATATAAAGCGTTATTAGTTCTAGGGGTAATTACATGTATAGTTATGGATAGTGGGCAGTTAATTTAATAGCTGCGAATATTATAGAGAATAGATACAAAATCCAACACTGAATCACTTTTATGCTCAGTTGAGCTCGTGGCGCTTGGAAGCTTTAATGGCTACATACTTTTGAGTCTTTGGAGAAATTCACAAATATTTTCTATATAGAAAGCGAATGTCATAAAGTTTTATGCATTAATTTTTAAAAATCCAAGTAAAATTTTGGAGCGTAATTTGCACCGAAGTTCAAGCATGATGGTAACAGCGGAAACGAGGTGATTTAGGTAAACGATAACTGTCGTTAAACGGTTCTATGGTAGATATTTTGTTTAACGATGACGGTTATGGCGCTATTTTATAATGCTTTAGGTAAAATGGTAGTTTCTCAGAGCGGCCTATACAAGCTTTATTAGTGTATTTCAATTTTGTTCCGATATGCCTATAAAACACTGGATACACATTTTCTTACAAAATAATAAAGAAATAAAGTGAGATGATTTTTAAGGCTTAAGAGGAAAATTTCCCAACTGAGAAATTTAAGTTTACATCAACAGCTTAGGCGTAAGCACGACTGGCCGCTTTCAAATATCTCCAAATTCTGAAATAAGTAATCCGTGATCTTTTTTTTGGTAATCACCGAATTATGTGACAAAATAAGTATTCGTTTTAAAACCGCAGTTTTCAGAAATATTTGTTATTATTATTATAAACGATTGTCAAATGAATTAAGATATTTTTGATGTTATTTGATGTGCGCTTGACTGGACTGAGTTTTATTCACTATTTTGCATTTTGGTAACAAGCAGCAAAATGTACCACTTTACTGAGAAATATTAAATAATTTATAGGAGGATATGTTTTTTTATTTTACTTGGTGACCACCAATTGAATCCCCGGATAGGAAGTCCCTGTGCATGCAAACAATTTTGATTTTAACTGTCTTTTTACACTGCCACTTCAGCATTTGTTTAAAAAGCATTTTTACTTCAATTTTTCTTGCGTGAGTTTATTAAAAGTGCTTAATTTAATGTACTATAAAACAGAACACAAAACAGCACTCAAGTATACTTTTTTCCAGCAATGACTGCTGCAATTCTTCTCCTCTTTTTCTCAAACTTTGGGTTTTATATCGAAACATCTCAATTAATCAAAATAGTACAGGAGAATCTTTAGCGGTTCTAAATACTCCAAGTTACACATACATTTGTTCTCTAAGTTAGAGTGGAAATTTTTAAAAACTTTGGTAAAGGAAAGTAGAAGGGACAGTTTATTTTCATGCCAAACAGTTGTTTGAAAATGGCGGAAAAACACTTTTTATTCCCACCGCCAATGCAACTCAATATCTCTTTAATATTGAACTGACCACCGAATATTAGAAAATACCACACTTTCGGTGTGTTCCTCAAAAATTTTTGTCTTTAAAAAAGACAGAATTTCCTCACGTCTTTTATTACAGATTGATAAATAGTTCTCCTATTTCGCAATAAGAACGAATTATTTATGAAAAAGTAATCAAGAACTATCACCTAGAGGGTATCCTGCAAATAAAAAAAAATAAAAAATAAGAAAGAAAATTCTGTCTTTTTTAAAGACAAAAATTTTTGAGGCAAAATACCCAAAAAGAAGTTTGTAAAAAAATAAATTCGCCTCAACAATATAGAACTTATCTACAACTTCTTTTCATTTTCAACAAAAAATCATCCTGAAATATTTGGATTTTAAATCACCTTTAAGTATATGAAAACCGATATGAATTGTGAATGCGACATTTTAGAATAACCTAATCTATCCACTTTTGTTTATAATTTGCGATTTAAATGCTGATAATGATAAAATTGCGACTTATAAAACATCAATCAATGAATATTATATTTTTGGCAGACAGACACATCCTGTGATACAAATTAAAGGTACTCTGATTTTTCGTCTCAAATTTTTCTTGTCAAGCTTTTACATATAAAACTGTAAAACTTAAATGTTCAGGTAACTTGAACTATTAAGGCAAAATAGCTATACCTATCGCTGATACATATAAGTGAAAAAATCGCATATAAAATATATAGACAATGATACAAACTGTTATTTCTCAACCAGCATTACCGCATTTTATTGACCAATAAAATTCTTATAGGTAAAGAATGAAGGAAACATTAGAGCCACTGCTCATTCCCAAGTTTATTTAAAAATCCAATCTTCAAAGAAAAGCTTCAAATCCCTGAAAGCTATCGCTTAAATACGTCGGCCAGTTTCCAATAAATGTATCATTCGAAATTATAATGGAATTTATTCAAATTTGCTGCAGAGAAGTTTTGCATTTAGACGCCGGTAAACAGGTGGGTCTGATATCGCTCAAACATTTTCCGCCTCTATTTTGTGCCAGTTTCTTGCCAGAAGCAAACTGGCATACAGCGACACAAAAGGTGTTAAAAGGGGAATTCTCGGCTGAAATACCAATTCAAAGCATCAGTTAGAGTACCCTGCATTATAATTACATGAAGGCAAAGCGAAACTGATATGAATAATATATATTTGAAATCATGCACTTAGAATTGTGCTGAAACTTCAGACTAATATCGACCATTAATTTATTCAAGAGTTACAAGAATTATTACGCTTTGTAAGAGAAGATAGATTGTGCTTTTACTGTTTAGCTGCCTATGTAGATTGGAAGCGTACATTTTTAGTGTTAGATATTTTGACAATTTATTTAAACGACAATTATAAATCATGCTCTTCAAAGATGAGATGGAAAAGATGAAACGTTGAAATCTAATTAAAATGAAAAACGTTCCTAAAAATCACGTTTTTCTAAATATTTCGAAAATTATTAGAAAAACTTGTTTTTTGAAAACGCATATGAACAACAACATGCATATTACTTTTAAACCCTGATTACGTAACTGTTTTCGAAGTTAACCGACTTGGTATCTATTTAGAGACACTGGCGTCTTGATGGAAGATTCAATAAAAAGGCGACATTCTGGAAAATATCTGCTTCATTTAATTAGTGAGAATGAGGGGAGAAGAAAACAAATCAGAAAATGTATCGGCCGCTTTCATTATAAAAATTAAGTAAACTCGTAATTTGATTAAAATATTTACTGATTAACACTACAAAGTGTTTCTTTATATATCCTGTTTCGTCACCTCTGTATATTTATGAATGCCAACTATTTTTGTCGTCATTAAACTATGTTCAAACACCTTTTTATACGAGTTGTGCATTTTGCACCATGCGTTTTGATCATCCAAGGTACAGTTCTATGAAACGATTTTATAGCACCAATGTAGCATTAAATATTATTCATTATATTAAATAGTCTATTAAATAGAATGGAGTAGCTCTATCATAATTTCCAAGTAGAAATTCGTACTCTTATTTTGCAATTTAGTGAAGTATCAGTTTCATATGACTACTAAAAAGTATAATTTATATAGACAAATCTTAGCATCAGTAAAGGTGAAAATAATTGTTCAAAGTGTCCCTCCATTTGCCCAATGCAACTTAGGTTCTAACTTTTAATTAAAGTTTGTGCATCTGTTTGTACGAACAGCTATATATTTTCGTATTCGTAATAGTTAATTTAAGAATTTTTTCTACTTTTTTAAATGACAATATTGAGACCAACTGAAATTTAGTTGGTTTCTGACCTTTCAGAAATATATTCATATTTCAAGTTCTACTATAATTCCTCCCTAAACACTTAATTACCATTTTGCCAGACTACGATCTTATAAAACGCGGTTGAGAACTGAAACAACAATGGAAGAAAATTATGTCTATTTAATCTGGCATATTTGTGAAATGCAGCTCTATCCTCAGACAATACAAAGGCAGAAAAGATCTTTCCGTGACTTTCCGTCTTTAAAGCCATTGGCGAAATTCCTCCGTACGTTGAAAGTCGAGATCTAATAATTCTTGAGTCTAAAGCTTCAACTGAACATGAAAAGAATGCGTTTTGTTATACGACAGTATTTTTTAGTTGTATCGTAACTTACGTTTTGCTTGTTTGCGGGTTGCAGGCAGTTGGAAAGAAACGTTTTGAAAGGATATCCATCTTGTTTTACAAAAAAATGGCTAGTTATCAGAATCTAAGCATCTAGTCTCATAGGTAAGTATTCATTAATAGTAGTCTAATATAGCTATACTAAAAACTTACAGAAAGCGCGGCTTTAAAAAATAATACACCCGAAATTTTCTTGCAAGAGTTACTATAATTATTGTGACCAATAAAATAATTTTACTCACGTTGGTAGAACTGAACAAGATTATGTATCACATTAAAAAATATTGAATACTAGCAGCTGTAAGTAGATATTAGTGAACTCTACGTTCACATGCAACAATCATTCTGACGTTTTTAATGGAGAAATATTTCTAAATTTTGCATGCAATATCCCATGATTTACAAACATTTCAACTTGGAGAAAACTATAGTCAACATTAATCGATAACGCCAAATATTGAAAATGCG